GAGTTTATAAAACTGAATAATTTTTTGCAATAAAAAAACAATAAATGAGCTTTTAAAAACAGTATTGTTAACAATAAGAGCTAGAAATGAGGCATCATCAGCCTTATTTAACATCTTTTTCCCTTTAAACCCAACTATTTTTGGCAATACAGTCACCACTTCCTAGCTATGAGCGATGGGAGACACGATGTGTCAGCAATAGCCAACACAGAGCTAAACCTTGATCACACCGGGGTTCCCCAGGGGAGCTGACAAGGAAGGAGGAAGAGCATGGAGGATGAGAAAGCTGCTCAAGGAGGAACTGCCAAACCTCAAAGTTTTAGACCAGGCCGGGCACAGTGGCTCACATCTATGATCCCAGCATCTAGGAGGCTCAGGCAGGATATCGCTTGAGCCCATGAGTTCAAGATCAGCCTGAGCAAGAGCGAGATCCTGTCTCTACCAAAAATAGAAAAATTAGCTGGGCGTGGTGGCATACACCTGCAGTCCCAGGTACTTGGGAGGCTGAGCCCAGGAGTTTGAGGTTGCAGTGAGCTATGATGATGTCACTGCACTCTACCTCGGACCACAGAGTGAGACTCAGTCTCAAAAAAAAAAAAAAACTTTTAGGCCAAAACATGTCTTAGAAAAAAATATTTCTTGCCTTTTCATCCAAACTTCTCAAAAGAGCAGGCTACCCACTTTCTCTACCTCTTTACTTCACAGTTAAATCAGCTCTGGAACTATTCTTGCCAAGGTCAAAAATGACCTTTCTTCAGTCCTTAGCTGGCAGATCTTAGCTGGCAGTGATGCTCCCTCCCTCCTCACCAACTGCCAGAACATTGTCCTCTCTTGGGGTCTCCTTGTGCCCCCTCAGCTCTCCTTGTGATGGCTTTCTCGTGGGCAACTCTCCACTGCTTCACTGTTCCTCTCACTCCAGGTGTCATTTACTCTTCAGCTGTTAACACTGATAGATGTAGAAACCCCAAATGTAACTGTCTACACCTAGCCCTCAAATTTTAGACTCAAACACCCAGCTGTCTTGTGGACACCTCCATCTGAGTATATTTTACAACTGTCTGCTCATGCTTTCTCCTCTAAGTAGACTGAGAAGCACCCAGCGGACGAAGACTGCTGCCACTCACCTCTGTACCGTGAATCCCCAAGTCCTAGCACGATGCCTAGCCTGTGTTCACCGCGCGGGGGAGAAATGCACGCAAGCATGAATGAATGATAGTGCTATTGGTTTTAAATTAGTTAAGCAGTTAAATAAGTTAACTAGGTTCTTCACGGAATATGGTAAAACCTAACCACCATAATGGGAAACTGTGTCTGATGTTCTGAACAACCAACATAAAAACAAAGTCTGGGAAGGTAGCTGTTAAGTTGAACAGTACGCCCCACGGAGGCAGAGCACAGCCCAGATGGCTTTCTGTAATTTCATGCTTCTGTTATTCTCACAAATAATAAAAAATAACAGATATATAATTACACACAAGTGACATAAATGTAAAACACAACATTTATAAATCACTGCTAGGACTCATTGTAGACCTCAGGAGTTAAGGTAACAAATAAGAACACATGTAAAAAAAAAAAAAACACATGGTTTTCTGGGACATCACAAAACAGATTCCATATTAACATAAGGATAAAATGCTAATGGAAATTACATATAAATGCATAAATCCAAAATCTAAGATCCATGGCAAATTTATAATAGCACATGTAAAATATGAATACAATGGGTATTTAATTCTATATACTCACTTATTCAATTATGTATTGAGTACCTAGTATGAGTCAGGAACTGTTCTAGGTATTCAGGATATAAGAATAAACCAAACAAAAGAAATTCTTGCCTGGCTGGAATATGGAGTTTACATTCTGGGAGAGAGAGCAGACAGCAAACAAAATAAGCAAAACATATAGTATGTTGATGTAGTAAGTGTTTTAGTGAAAACTAAAGGGGCACAGAGTGCCAGGAGTAATGGCGGGATTATTAAACAGGGAGGTGGGAGGTCAGAGAAGATCTCACTAAGATGGGTAAGGATCTGAAAGAGGTGAGACAATGAGGCAGGAGAGTGTCCAGGATACAAGTGTTTTAGGCAGAGGAAACAGCCAGTACCAAGGCCCTGAGACAGGAGAAAGCCTCCGTGTCAGAGAAACAGCAAGAGACTGGAGCGGCTGGAGAGGAGAAGAGGGAGAGAGAACTTGGAGATGACGTCAGAGAAAAAAGATGACCTCTATGTTCCCATGAAGCAAACAAAGTGCTTCTGTAATTTAAGCTCTCCAAAAAGCAAATCCATTTCTATTTATACGGTTTTTCTAATGAAACTTTCAAAGAGTAAATATGGATACTTACTCTGTCATATTTAGCAACTATTTCAGCTCGCTCCTGAGCTAGTTTCAGTGCTACATCCTGTTCTGAATCTGTGGGGAGATCAAATTTAGAAGTGTTATTCAAAGAAGCACAAAGTTAATAATTATAAAACTAAGACAAATAAAAATAAAACAGAAAAACCAATACTGCCTTAAAATGACAAATCAAATCAAATAAATGTAAAAGGATGAGTTATATATCTGTAACTACACCTTCGGAATAGCAACATATATCATATTCAAAAGAAAGCAAATTTATTAACAGCAATTAACTTAGGGACACAATAAACCTTATCTCTCAAGAATCAATTTTGGATCTAAAATTTCACAGAAATGGGTACTGAAGAAGAAACTGAAACTCAAAGTTCTAACTTTGCAGATGAAACCCCCTTAAGTGTAAAAGAAGAACATTCAAAAGGGCTTTTAAAACCTAAGGGAATTTGGATCTCCATAAAATAAACTAGCACAAGATATATTTCAGGAGTTAAAAAAAAAAATTATGTTAAATGATGAAAATAATCATGTCTTCATTTAGCCTTTCAGGTCCCTTTATCAATGGCCTCAACTACCATAGTAATCTCCTAACTGGTCTCTGTGCCTCCAGTTTTATGACATGCATGTGTGTACAGGAAACACAAAGGCACATACACACACACGCACACACACACGCACACGCACACATCCTTCTTCCTTATTAGCACTAGGAGTCTTACAAAAACACAAACCTAACAACAATAGCACAGATCAGAACATGAAATAGTATGAATGTGATTATAGATCCCAAGTACTGTTAAAAAAAAAAAAAGATCAATGACAGACTGTATGAGAGGCATCTCTGATCAAGAAGAAAAAGACAGCACTTCAACGGAAAATTAAACAAAGGTTATAAGCAAGAAACTCAAAAGAGCGACAACAGCAGCAACAACTATACTGCGTTCTTACCAAGTGCCCGGCAGAAAGTGAGGCACTGCCAGGCAGCAGATTCTGCGCTAAGCGCTTTACTCTGCCTCACCACACTGAACTCTCACAACACCCTAGTAGGTATCACCATTAATCCTACATCAATGATCAGAATGAGGCTCAGAGATTTTAAACAATTTGTCCAAAGTCACAAAGCTAGTAAATAGCAAAATTAGGATTCAAATCCAAATAGTTTTGATTCCGTAGCCCACAATTTTAACCACTACTTTATAAAAATGATTACTAAAGACGTGAAAAAGGACTTCTGGTCAAAGATGGCAGATGGAACATACTTTGACATTCATTTCTCCTAGAACCCCACTAAAATGACAATACAGGGATTCTTGAAATCCTGTCCCTCAAAGGCCCAGCAAATGGTGGTTCCTAAGAGGAGGTAAGGGTGGCTGAAAAACAAGAGAGTTGATTAAAGGGGGTGAACTCCCTGGAAAGTGAAGGGATGCACGTGTGTGTGGCACAGGTGGGTACAGGGTAGAAAACCAAACCCTCATTCTCCAAAGCAGGAAACCAATGGAAACACCTAGAACAGAAGAAGCAGGAAGGGGTAACTGAGGCGTGTTACCTGGTGCTGTGCAGGTAAATAGAAAAAGAATCAGCCAGGGGAGTGGAGTGTGGTTACTTCCATGGAGCAGGCAGGGAGCAGGGAGGAATATGGGAGTCTGCTACTTTCAAAACAAGTCTTACAGATTGCTGAATCTTTAAGCCAAATATGGCTCTGGTAAAAATAAAATCTAAATTTGAAAACCAAGACAGAAAAAAATCAACCTCATTAGTAACTAAAGAAATACGAGTTTTAAAATATCACTTTGCACCTATCTTAGACTAACCAAAAATGTACTGATGCTGCTCAGTGTTGATAACAATGTGGGGAAATTTGCAGTTCCTTACAGTGAGGATAAACATGTAAATGTATAAAATCTTTCTGGGAAGTAATTTGATAGTATGTGTCAAAAATCTTAAAAATGGGCATATCTTTTCCCCAACAATTTTACCTCTAAGAATTTATGCCAAGGAGAAAATCAAATAAGCACAAGGTTGTTTATAATAGTAAAAAAATAGAAAATGGGAATTTGTACATTTTTAAAAGTTTATTTGGGAAAAAATATTTATGTCGCTGCTTTTTTCAGTTAAACTACAAAATGTCAATATGCTTTCCTTTGGGGGAAGCGTGAATAAATATGTAAATAGAATGATTCAGTAAAATAAAAGTACAGATTAGTTGTGCAGACTTTCACAATGAATTAATGCAAAACAAGTCTGAGCTGATCGACTCAACTACACACGCCTTCATTACCCTACGTTAGACTCAGGAGACTTTGTCAACTCCTTTTCCCTCTTCCATTGCCCAGTTTTAAAACATTACACTCACACTTGTACCAAAAGGCAAAGAAAGCAAATTAATAGAAATTAAATCCAAACTAGGGAGCTTGACTACTTATTAAACTCTATTTCTATTACCAGAGCTGCTATGCATGAATTTCTTTGGTGATGAGTCCAAATTCAATAGATGAATGCTTTCTTGCAATGTATTTTACACTAGTCCTTTATTCCTGCTGCCAGGCCTAGGAGTCTCAACTGCATCTCCAAGATAACCATGAAAAGCGTAAAAGTATAAGGCAAGAACTGGGCATGGTATGGAGCTGGGAAGCAAAGATGAAAAGTATCCCAAGAAAACTTCATTGTGGCAAAGCATACGATATAAAGCATCACACAGATCATGTTCGCCACCCAGCGCGTCTGGGACAAAGATGATGATGTACTTTAACATGATTAGAGCAATTGACTCTAAATCAAATAAATGAGTTCTAAATCTCCAAATTCCCTTAGGAAGTTCTCATCCTTTTATTTCCCCATGGGGAGAAAATTTTATAATACTAATAAATGTATTCTAAAAAGAGTGGATTTAAAGTCAGACTAATTTCATAAAATATAGCCAAATTTACTTCTTTGAAGAGACTAAATGGAAGTGCCAATTTTTCCCAATACTGAGTTTAGAGACATTATTTAATAATCTGTACTGCAAGGCAGTCATCTACAGAGTAAGAAGTACTATCCTCATGCAGGATTCACTAAGTTAAATCATGTTTCATACTATCTGATCTGTAGTTGAGTAGTTTAGTAAGAATTACACTAGAATACTTCGTTTGGCTTCATTCTCATTGCTTATTTAGATATTGCATTGAAAGAACAAGGAGTTTATCACAAAACCACAAACAATGTCAACAGCTGTCTTGTGTCTGTGTACAAGTGTGAACAAAGTTCCAGGCACCTATTAAACAATAACAGCAGTATTAGCTGGTACTTATACCACATCATCATCAAATAAAAATTTAATCAGGGCATTATTCCAACAATTCACACTACATCTTCATGCTCTCCTTGCGTGCTAAATCCATAATTACTAAAAGTTTATTTGGAAAAATTTGGTTTGAAATACAATACCACTTGTTGCCAAAATATCATGGTAATTAAAGAGTAGGTCAACATGATTGTTAAAATAAACGTAGCTGAAGAAAAAGTTCCTAACATTAAAAATAAAACCATGTATAGAAATATGTGGATCAACACTTTAAATATCAGCCTTCTTATTTTACCAGAATATTCATTTTTTAAAATTACATTATTCAAACCAAATTAAATCTAATCACTTTTATTAACTTTACATCTAATATAACAAAGTTTCAAAGTATGAGGCATATTTTAGGCAGTAAGGATCAGAAGATGTTTGGATACTCAAGCACATAGGAAATACTCAAGTATATGGGAAAAATACCTCTAGGCACACATTTACAGAAGAAAATGGCAACTATAGTATTTTAAAAAGTATTTTAAAAATTGACTATATGATTTTAATCCATTTAAATCTAAATTCCCAAGAACTTTCAGAATCAAGTATCCCCCCATTTTAATATCTTAGAGTCACTAAATTAGCCACAAATTGTAATGAAAAATTCATATAAAGTTACTGAAGTTCAAATTCAATTCAATAAAATAAATTAACAGCTGACCATTTTTCCTAGTGCACACTTTGAGTGTTAAAAACATTAACAATATCAATTTTAAAAGTACCTTACCCTTTGTTAGATAATCAGTCTGGCCTTGGAAATTAACTAAAGCTTCAGTCCTCATAGAGTAACTTATCTATTCCAAGATTTCATTATTATTTTATAGTTCTTGAACACACCAAGAGCATTAGGTGGCACCTCACACATTCTGCAACTAACAGAAACAAAGAAGGGAAAAGGCAGCTCTACTTTAAACTATTTGTGAAACAAGCACAAGAAAGAAAAAGTTTCAGATGCATTCTGTCTTTTTTTAAGGGGGGGAAAAAGACCTTGCTGTGATCACATGGATATTCGAACAAAGATGGTATTTGTTGAGGGTGAAAACATGTCTTTCAGGCCAGATCCCAACCATGGACCATACCAGCCTACACCCAGCATTCCATCGAATAACAAACAGGGGCTTTAAACAAGCAGCTTCATAACATGCCTTAATCTTGTGCTTCAAAATTAGCCACTTTCTTACTACTTTTAGCAAAACTTATCATAGAACAACAAAGAAAAAATTTATTTAAAACATTAAAGCTAAGTAGGAATGCTCTTCTCAAATACATTTTATATCTTACTGTAATTTTTCATGATAATTTTTAATATGAAACTTGTAGCCCCTGTTTCAGACAGTAAGCAAATACATACTAAAGCAGTAGTTTGGGACATTTTTAACACACCACACACTCACATAAGCAAAATGAATGTTTCATGAGGCACTATGTTGTAAGTACTGTAAGATGGCACTGTGAAATTTTCCATTCTGTTTCATTTATTCCTTTCTTCTTCCTTTCATTGTTTCCCTCTTTCTTTTAAACGGGTAGGAACTTACAATTTGGAAACCACTTTGCAAAAGTAACAGCGTTGTCAGAAGCATGCCTGTGAACATTAGTTACACTTAGCTGGACACTAATGAATGAAGTTTATGCTCAGCTAAACTCAGTTGTAACATTCAACTAAAGCAAAGGATCTCAAGAGTTTAGAGAGAGGGAAAAATTTCAAGTCATATACCAAGGCATGAGA